CTGTTTTTATTCGCGCGAGTGACACGAAAAACATCCCGCGAGTAATCTAGAGCGAGGGACGCGATGTGCATATTCGCTTCGCGTCTGGTGTGAACACACCATAAGTTTATGTCTATGGCGATTCACGCAGTTATGTGTTACTCCGCAGCGGTGACGACCCGACCAGGCTACAATAGTCCAAATATAAGTACTTATTATAAGTGTACCGTAGTGATTCGGAATAAGACAAAAACGCGGTTTGGAAGATGAATTCATGATGTACTCGCTCATTATATACATTTAGCAAATTTTGAACACAGAAAAAGTTACATAGTGCTGCTTTAAATTCCCACTCTTGGCGTCATGATGACCACGAGGTTAGAATGCATGAAAAAAAAACATGTGGGCTGTCTTGTCAAGTTAGACCCAGAATACCGACAGATCTGTTTTAAAATACCCACTAGTAGTTTCTTTTGTTCTTTTATTCGGTGTTTTAGACGCACATGTTTCACAGTAAAACTGATAAAGACATTGACTTGGTAAGAGCCCGGGTTTTATTTTATCGAATTTTATTTTATAATTTTCTATGTGACGTGGTCCAAAGCGTATTTAACCAAATTAGTGTTTCATGTAATCAGTCAACATTATGCAAAGTATTTACAGATCTGATCCAGACACAACTGGGCTTGTCATGGTGTTATACACACCATCACAACAACAAATAGGACAGCAACGCATGTTTTAATAACACGCTTTTAATAACACGTATGACCTTCATTTCTATTTTATAGCAGGATGGAATATTTTCCGGACTCTAACGCCAAATATAAAGATGTTAATTACTGGAATGAGCGGTATCGGACGGAGGAGAGCTTCGAGTGGTTCGGTGACTTCACTAAATTTAAACATCTGCTCAAACAGCACGTGGGAACGGAAGAAAACATTTTGATGCTAGGTAAGTTAGACACTTAGAAAACAAAATCAGCATTATGAGTCATCGTATATCGTTGCATTGTGTATATTACACAATGGTCAGCAGGGGTTGCTACTGCATTATTTTTGAGAAATTTTTATCTGCCTTAAATAAATGAAGATTTGCTTAAAATGCACTCATTCTCAGGCCATCCAAGATATAGATGAGTTTATTTTTTCATTGGAACAGATTTGTGGAAATTTAGCATTACATCACTTGCTCAGCAATGGATTCTCTGCAGTGAATGGGTGCCTCAGAATGAGAGTCCAAACAGCTTCTCAGAAATCCACGACTCCAAAGTGGATGAATAAATGTCATGTCGATTACTGGTGAATTACTGAGATGTTTTTATCAGATTTTTGAATGCTCATTCTGACGGCACCCATTCACTGCAGAGGATCCATTGCTGAGCAAGAGATGTAAAATTCTCCAAATCTGATCAGATGAAGAAACAAACTCATCTACATCTTGGATGGCCTCAGGGTGAGTAAATTTTCAGCAAATTTTCGTTTTTGGGTGAACTATTACTTTAAAGGTATACCCAGCATTTTATTTATTTATTTATTTATTGCCAACTTGAAATAAAGAAATAAGTGCCACTTTGCAGAAATAACATTAAAATGGAGTTCAATGACATAAGCCCTATTAGTCTTCTAGTAAATCTATTTTAATCTACATGGAGCGTGTCACTCTCTTATGAGCCAGACACATGCTGCATCATGCAATTGACCAAACTACTACTAATATTAATAAGAAAAATCTGTTTTTTTAAAACAATGCTTTCAGTCGTGTACAACAGTCTAGTCACAGTGCAGTGCAATCCAAAACTACTGGTACTGTTGAGATGATAAAGAACCAAATAATAATAAAAAACTTACTAGGTGTATCTATAATGAGCAAATTATGATAAAATGTGGTTTAAGCATGTATCCTGAACAGTAATTTATTGAACAGTTATTCGTTGCTATGTCTTCAAATAGCAAGGTGGTGGTTGTTTAATGGTTACATTTAGGTTGGTAACATTTTTAGTTAAGGACTTATATTATAATTCTCCTGATATTGGTTATTTTAGCAGATTATTTTTATACTCAAGACAGTACAAGACCTACAGAAA